GATTTCAGTGGATCCTCCTGTTCTGCTCCCCACTCTGTCTCTGGTAGATCCTCTCACCACCCCCCATCCCTGCATCTCTGGCCTGTACCCCAGTTCTTATATGCATAAATAAATAAATCTTTTTTTAATTAATTAATTTATTTAAATGTTATTTTTATATTTCCCATACAATTACAACCCCCTTATTTTGACCCCAACCCCTTCTTTCCCCGCTCCCCCACCCCTCATAGAGTGTCTCTGGTTCATAGCTTTTTGTTGATTTTGATTTTCGCTTTCTTATAGTTATTCATTTTCCTGGTCCCTTATTTAGGTTTTCTAGATTCCTGCTATGAGTGAGACCATCCGGTATTTTTCTTTTTCTTTCTGGCTTATTTCGCTGAGCATGATCCCTTCCAGCACCATCCATGTGGCTGCAAATTGCATGTGTTTATCTTTTTTGATGACTGCGTAATATTCCATGGTGTATATGGACCACATCTTCTTGATCCAGTCATCTATTTTTGGGCATTTGGGTTGTTTCCAAAGCTTAGCTATTGTAAATAGTGCTGCTATAAACACAGGGGTGCAGGTGAATAAATAAATATTTAAAAAAAAAAAGAGGGAAGACACAGCACGTGACAGAACCAGAACAGTGAGCTGGGGGCGCCGAGACCAGAGCTCCCTGCTGGGCTCTGGTATCTGGACCTCAAACCCGTGACTCCCATTGGGCCTGAGCTCAGCTTCAGCTTATTCTGCAGATCAAATAAAAAGTGTTACCTAAAGCAACTTGTACACTTCAAAATACACCCATAAGTGCTGGGACTATTTCCAATGAAATATAAAAGCTCCTCTTGTTTTGGTCATGAGAGAATGTCACCTCTCAACTCTTTCAATATTCCACCAGGTCACCGGAGGCCGAGGACTCATGAGTAGACGCGTGTGGTCACATTCAATCGTGTGACCCCCAGAACACCGTGCGTGGAGCATCACGTTTTTTAAATTTCAGGCGAAGCCACCGCACACCTGAACTTACTTTCTAATAAAAGTCAACTCACAACAGAACAAGGATAATCCACCCTCCTGCACATGGAATGCTGGTGGTGTGCGTGTTAGTTACCCGACACAATAAAAGAAATCGGATTACTTCCCAGGCGCCCGGCGTGAGGGAGGGACAGCACCACGCCAGGGCCGCGGATTAGCGCAGACGCCGACCGAGGCAGCCCGCGAGAATCCACGGCAAAGGACAAAGGGAAACCTCTCCTCGGGAGAATGTCCAGCATCTACAACATTCTCCAATTTCACAGATTCTGTCATGAAGGGGGAAGGGCCGCACGCAGGTTCACGGAGCTGACTGAGCCGCAGGGAGGCGGGCGTGGCCGGGGGTGGCGGGACTGAGCTTCCCGGCGTGAGACGCGCCTCTTCAAACAGGAGGAGGGTGGGAAATGGGCCGCATTTCACAGCCTTTAGTGCCCACGTATTTCCTTAAGTTCTTTAAGATCCTGAAACCCAGCTCACGCCCTTCTTACGGTGTGTGCAATGCTGCCTCCACACGCCGGCTGCCGGCACGACACAGAGCACGCCGCTGCCGTCGTGGAGCAGCACACGGTCCTCATCTGCCACGTGATGGATGACGTGGCGGCTCCGCAGCCCCATAACTTAAGGTTAAGCCTCAGAACCCTGTCCCCTGAGCCTGGCTCCCATTTCCAGATGCTGCCTCCCTCTGCAGCCAGGCCAGAGGAGAGAGGGCCTCGAGCAGGCTGCCCAGAACCTTCCCCGGCTGACCCCAGTCTCCTTTGTCGACTCGGCTCCTCTGACCAAGCTCTGCACTCGGGGCCCGCCGGGGCTCAGACCTCCCACCCTTGCCCGGGCAGATGGGTGGTCTCGTGCCTCCACGGAGCTGGACACCCCCTCTGCATGTGGACGGCTTCTAAACGTGCCCCCCCGTCCCAAAGCCTCCCCGTACTCTGACAGACGGACAGATGGATGCACGCACCCAGCTGCTGCCGGGTCAGGGCTGCCCGGGCGCCCAGCAGGCACCCAGGTTTCAACGTGTCCTCCTCCCGGCGGACACAGCAGGGGCCTGGGTGCTGGGAGCCCCACCCGGGGGGTCAGGGTGTCCTGATTCCTGCTGTCTCTGCACCGCTGAACGCAGACGGTGTGATGAGAGCAACCACCTCTGCTTCAGCGCAGAAGAGCAGCCGGGGCCGTAAGGGAGCGGGACGGGCAAGGGAGACCCTGGGCTGGGGTCTGGATGAAGGTGAGGCCGAGCCCGCGAGCGTCTGGAAGAGCAGGCGGAGCGCAGGGCGAGCGCCGCAGGCCCACGAAGCTCGTGGAGACTCACGGGATGAGAGAGAAAGGCCACGCTTGGAGAACGGGGAGGGAGCTGAGGGCACCGAGAAGGAAGGAATGGGGTGGGGGGCACGGATAGGGGTCCCCCAATGCAGAGAGAAGGATGTCAAGTCCGAAAGCCTAGAGGCGGAAGAGACAAATGTAGCATGTCATACAGATGACCACGCGGAGGAGGAGGCCGTGCTCCCTTTCCGAGGACCCCCACTGAGCACGGCCTGCTTCCCGGGGCTCCTGGGGTGCGGGTACTTTGTGGGCTGGTTTCCAACAGCCTAAAACAGGGGCGCTGGCAGTGCTGAGTCGGCTGGATGAGAAGAGCTTCCCGTGCGGCCGAGACTGAAGAGCGGGCCGCGCCAGCACCAGGACCCGGACGCCCGTCTTTGCAACGGGGACAGGCCACCGGACCCCTGACCTAGGACACCTCTCACCGAGTCAGCGGCTTGCTGCGTTCCACCGGGGCAATGCCAACGTACCCAAAAAAGACGCACTTAAAAAAATCAAAAGCCAGCGTCTCTCCTCAGCACCAGATCCCGGGAAAAGCACCCCCCAGCGTTACCACAGCCCCACACGGCGCGCGCCATGGCTTCTGTTTGTCACCAACGGCCGTTCGCAACACGGCCAGGTGACGCAGGGGGTGATGCAGGTGACGCAGGGGGTGATGCAGGTGACGCAGGGGGTGATGCAGGTGATGCAGGGGGTGATGCCGGTGATGCAGGTGACGCAGGGGGTGATGCAGGTGATGCAGGGGGTAGGCACCACCCCAGAAGCTGCTACGTCGGAGAAGATGGGTTTTCAGTAAGAAGAGACAGGCTAGCTTATGCCTTCAAAACTCCCTGAATTGGGGATTTCCTACTTTTCTGAGTGACCGTGCAATTTTAGGCGGCTTTAGGAGAAATTTAAAAAAATCTCAGAGGAAGTTAGTGTGGATCTAAGAGGAGATGGTGCGGCTGAAGAGAAAATCACTGCTCCCTGGGGCATTTTCTGCAAATACCGACGAGGGCATGCGAGGGAAGCAGTCCTCTCACTGAGCATGCTAATCATTGGAAGCAAAAGAGAATTTGTTTGAACTGTTAGATGCCTCCTTTTTTTCATCTTCTCGAGATTCTTGACTCCGGTCACTATTGTGACACATGTAGCTTCAGGCAAATTCAATTAATAAAACAAGTCACGGCTTATCGCTGAATAAAGACACGGTGACTCCACAGTGTTATGATCAACTACAGAATTCCTTTCCACTTTCCCGGGCGCCTAACACTGTCTTCATCCTACGTGAAGCGCTGGGTTTTAAAATACAAGTTCTCCAGCCCGCCTTTGGACAAAATCCGCACCAGCTCTGCTGGGAGTGTGAGACCACGCCACAAGGGTTGCTGCATTGCTCCAAGGTTTACGTGTGTTTAATGATTATCTTTTTATCATCTTTGTGGAGCCACAACCAGCTGTCTCGTCACCGGTTTTCATAATTGTCCTCATACTTTTTTTTCAGACCTTCTCGGAAACAGGTTCAGCAGTGAAAACCCGCACTATGAATTCACTTGCAAAAGCAAAATTTCTTCCTTGTCCCGACACGAAGAGCAGGCGAGGCAGAGATGGGGGTCTCAGAGGCACTAAGTGCAGGGGTCCTCGCTCCAGCTCCGCTGCTGAGGACACCCCTGCTCACTCCTGTCCTTGCCGCTCCCCGGTGCTGGCCTGACACCCTCCCTGGCATAGGAGGGCCTCACAGGCTCTGGGCTCAGTCTTTTCATCTCTTCTCCATGGATCTTCACTTCACTACCTGCATGGCCCCAGGGCCAAGGTCAGCAAGGTGCAGCAGCCACTCCAGAGCAACTCTCCCCTGTGCTTTGTGAGTCCCCTGTGTCCCCAACAAGGAAAACAAAGGAACACACGCAGCTGGGACTATGAAACTAAAAAGCTTCTGCACAGGGGAAGAAACCATAAACACTATCTGCCCACCTTACATCTGACAAGGAACTGATATCCAGGATCTATAAAAAACTCATATGGCTAAACAGAAAACAAATAACCCAATCAAAAAATGGGCAGAAGAACAGACACTTCTCCAAAAACTTGCAGCCATTTTCCAGCTGCCTGTAACAAACACCGAAACTTGTCAGGCCCGCTCTGGACCCCCAGACACGGCCAAACGACCAGCCAGCTGAGCACGCCTCCCTCTAGAAGCTCCTGCTCCTTCAGCAAATGCTCCGGTACCTTCTCCGGCCGCGGGCATCCGCGCAAAGTCACCAACGTGAGCCCCGGCTCAGACTGGGCTCCCTCGGAGTCAAGTCGCCTGCAAAGCACCCTCCTCAGATTGCTCCCCCACATCCCTCAGCACAAAGCCCCGAAATGTGCTCTATTTCTGGAGTCCTGTCCGCACACATTTTCTTTAGGTGATATTTGCGTGTATCATTCCCAACAAGCTGGTGCCAGCAGCACTGGAGAGGATGCTGGAAACAGCTGGCACCTCTGCAACTGGCGCTCACCACGTCGCCACCACCTACAGTTATTCCTCACGTGCCAGGTGCTGCTGCAAATGCTCTCCACATACTCATGAACCTGTGTTTGCAGCCCTTGGTACATGGATCAAACATTAAGCATCTGGGACAGCGAGGTCTCTCTCAGAAGGCCTGGTCATCCCTCTCACACGTCCACACAGAGCAATATTCCAAAGAATCACTCACCAGCCTTCTCCTTTCTTCTTCCACTGCAATGAGGAGTCGTGCAAATTCCTTCAATGACTGAGCTGTTCAGAAGATAAATTAAAGGAAAAAAAGATTAGCTCCTTCTTCAGCACTAATTTCTTCCTGCATAGGCATGAACATAACAAATTAGTTATTACTCTGAATACGACAGCCCCCCACCCCTTCCATGGTTTTCTTTTTTGGTTTTGGTTACCTCACCACCAATAAAAATCAGAAACAAGGAGCTATTTTAAGATGGACATATAGTAGTCACGTAACTTTTATTAAGTATATGGTTACAATTATTCTGTCTTATCACTGCCGTGAATGTCTTACTGATTTAGAAGTTACCCTTCACCATGGGTAGTAGGGAGAACACTGCAGATACAGGGTCTGCTACTATCTGGGATTTGGGACACTCTCTGGGGGTCTTGGAAAGGATGCCCCTCACTTAAGGGGGTGGAACTTCTGTGGTTTAATATCTGTACAAGCAGAAAACACCATCCTCAGCGGGATCTTACGAACAGCTACAGGTGAGAGGTGTGTGCTGCTCTGTGCTCCAAACTGTAGTTCAGAACATAGCCATGTATTTTTTTCTTCAAGGACATCAAAGGGAGTATCGTTAATATATTTCATATAAAACATATATGAATAAGAGTATATTACCGAATCACTTCCAAGCAGTGTCCTACAAATAATGAAAAATATATTAAATCTTCAAGAGCAGTAAATCCAATATAAATTATATGTGCACAGTCACAGTAGCCAAACACGTCCCCCACTGAGGTCCTTCTAGACCCTGGACCCCATGTTACCCCCACAGCCAAGGTATGTTAGACCTTCTAGTCTGTGGTCAGCATAACAAGCTGCACCTATATTTGGGGAGCTTGTTAGAAATGCAGGTTTTGGGGCCTCCCTGGTGGTACGAGGGGTTAAGAAGCAACCTACAAAGCTATCTGCAGCCTCTGCAGCACAAGTTCAATCCCCAGCCTGAGAGCTACCCACATGGCGCAGCAGACCTCTCCTGACTTGCCTGCTGCTCCCCTCAGCAGTGTATTTCAGTCAGTCTGCCTGTTCTACTTCCCACTCTGTCTCTGGTTAATCCTCTCACCACCCCCCACCCTGCACCTCTGGCCTGTACCCCAGTTCTTGCATCCATAAATAAATAAATCTCTAAAAAAAAGGAAAGAAAGAAATGCAGGTTCTCAGACCCCACCCCAGAATCTGCATTTCCACAAAGTCCCCAGGGGATCCATTTGCATAGTAAAGTTGAGAAGAAATGCTGTAGCATGTTTTGAGCAAAAATATCACAAATACAGACCAGACTGAAACTGGATTATGTAATAGTGTGTTATATTTTTATACTTTTGGTGAAGAAAGCGTCCCATCATCTGGCCCCCTTTGCCACAGCTTGGGAAAAGGATCAAGTATTCAGCAACGCTGGGAGAGCAAACTAAAAATAAATGAATAAATGGTAAGTTACAGTGGCTTATTCTTTAAAAATGCATGGGACTGAGGGGGATTAGCGAAAGTAATTCACCCACGTCAATTTCCGTACCTTCTATTTAATATGAATTATGCAGTATTAGGTTAGGTAAAGGTGGAATGTTGGGCTTCAAAATAACACAACAAACAAGGTGGAGGCAACACTGTCCAGCTTTGACCCTCCTCCCTGACCACATTCTCTGGGCTCCAATGTTCTGGGAAGCCAGAAATGGACGGAACCAGCACAAAGGTGATCCAGTAAAAGCAAATAATTGAGGCAGACAAGCCAAGAGTCTCATCCACAAAACTTACAAAGGAAGTGAGGCAATATCTTCACTCAAAAACTTAAAATCCCATTCTGCTATCTTTTTTCTTTTCAGAATCCCTGAGCTTATGCTAAGCTGGTCTGAAACGCTGTCATTCAGTTATCAGTTACCATCACAGAAATCAAAGGGTTACCTGGGAGACGTCACTTAATCCGATGAACGCGTTAATCAACTAAGACGCAGTACAACCTTTTCTTCCATTTTTATAAAAGATTTTAATCCTTCCAAAAATAACTCGATGCTACAACACAACTCAGTTTGACAACAGTAAGTTGGACAGAAAATCAGTTTATAAATAGAAACAAGATTTGAACTGGGGCATGGAATAGCAGATTGCATTTTTGTATTTGGTCCGTTGTAGTTCCAGTAGCTCTCTGCTGCTACCAGACATCTGCTGGTGAGGCTGAAAAGATCTAGGGAATTTGGGGTGAAGGGAACATGAAAAAGCCTGCAGAGAAACAAGCCAAGTGGTACGTGGATTTTGGCTACGGGAGCTCGAAGGGGCAGGTGAGAGAAAGGAGCAATGAATAGCTCAAAGTCTGTGTGAGAAGTCCTCTACCCTCAGATTCTAACCCAGTGCCTCCCAAACTGTTCAATAAATATAAGGAGAAAAACTTACATTGATGTTTCCTTTTATCACAACTAGCGACTGATGCTCTCTAACAAGGGACTCACCAGGAGAGAGAAGATACAGAATCCAGAACCAGGAGACCCCCAGGGAGCAAAGCAGCAGGGGGGTTCCCAGGAGGAGAAAGCCCAGGCAACAGCTGCACCCCAGTCCTGAGAGGATCCTGCGGAGGTCAGAGCAAGAGGCTAGGGGCTCCAGGCAAAGTCTCCAGAAAAAGAAGACAGAGCTGGTCGGCATGCTGATGTGTCCAGCTGCAGTGAGAGGAGCCGTGGTGCTCCTTTCTTTAAAGAAAACCCAAAGGCCGTGATGAACTCTTGGGGGCGGGGAGAACTATACAAGTAACACAATCGAAGTAAGTTGTGGGTAACTTGTACAAAGTCACGATAATAATTGGACCTCCCTGGTGTCACAAGGGATTAAGCACCGCACTATGAAGCAATCCGCAGCCTCTGCAGCACGAGTTCAATCCCCAGCCAGGGAGCTACCCACATGGTGCAGCAGACCTCTCCTGTCTCGCCCACTGCTCCCCTCAGCAGTGGATTTCAGTCAGTCTGTCTATTCTGCTCCCCACTCTGTCTCTGGTGGATCCTCTCACCCCTCACACCTCTGGCCTTTACCCCAGCTCTTGTATGCATAAATAAATAAATCTTTAAAAAAAGCAAAGTCACAATGATAAAAATAATTTAAAAATTGCTTCCAAAATTAAGTTTTAACCAATAAGGCACCTGGGGAAAGGCCTGTAGTGAGACAGAATGAACTCAAGATGCCACAGGGCCGCAGTATACAGGGATGAGACCCAACAGACAAAAAAAAAAAGTTGAGAAGTAGAAGCAAGATAATTGTGGGCTTGACAGAAAGTGGGAGAAATGGCCCTAAGCGGTGGGCACAGGTGGGAGAGGAGACCGGATTGGAAAAACATGTGACTTTTTTTTAAGCCAATAATAAAAAATAAAACATACTCCAAATGCTTTCTTTTCTAACCAGCCTAATTCCAGGAGGGCGCAGGTGGCAAAGCACTGCACTGCCTCAGGGCTGAGCAACACCTGGCCCAGCCGAGCTGGCAGGTATTGGTGGAGTAACTGACGACTACTTCTTTTAGATGGGGCGGGGGGACGAGCCCCCCACCTCAAACCTCCCACGTGGCACCCCAGAGATGACCCGGGCCCGGCAGGAGAGTCCCAGCAGTCCAGGCAATAACAGAGGAGCCCCAGAGTTCCCCCAAGGTAACCGCCACCCCAGGACCAGGCTGCGGCTTCCCGTCCACCAGGAGAGCTCCCCGTCTCACTCTGCCGTCGACCTCTCCACAGCTGACGGTGCCATGTTCTCCTGGACTTGAAAGGTTTCCCTGTCTGTTTCCCGTAGAAATACTATTTCTAGACCAAGCACAGTAGCGAACGAGGAGGAGAATGCCCGTGGGCAGGATTTGAACTCGCAGAAGCAATCGTGGGGCTGGGCGCGCTCCCTCCAGCAGCTGCCTGCGTCTGTCTCAGCGTGACCACACGTCCTGCGCCCTCCTGTTCCTGCCCAGAGTTTTCAGGGAACGAACTACAAGAATACTCAGATTTCTCTCTTTTACTATTACCAGCTCATCTCCACAAAATAGCTACTTCTTGGCCAAAATGAAGAGATTCATGTGCGTCACTTGTGCTGGCGACAAGCGAACACCAGCCAGGAAGACTAAATATGCATGGATTTTATGAATTAGTGACAGCTGCCGCCGAACTCTCTAACGCCAGGTGTAATGTTCGCCCCTAAATCTTTTTTCAAGCGTCATCCTGCCAGAGTGTGATGAGTAGTTTTACTAACAAGCAAAACGGATCACAGAAAGAAAGCAGGAATTAACAATCCCATAAAACACATGAAATCATTCAGGGCAGCATCTGGTACGCTGGGTTTGGGGAGGACCCCGGGCAGGCGGACAGGAGCCGTGAAATATCTGCCAGTCTAGGGCAGAGAGGCCGGGACCAGACAGAGCCCGGGGCCACACCTGCCTTGACTATGAAAAGTGGGGGGAGCTTAGTCCACCCCAGGTCTGAGGACCCCTTACAGTCACATGGAGCAGCCCACAGCTCTGCAAACAGCCGTGGACTTTTCTTCAAAGATGTTACTCAAGCAAATCTGAAAATATGTCTGCTGCATGCAAATTCCTCATTTCCAAATGCTTCCTCCTTTCGACGCAATTATCTGCGATGTTCCATGCTTTAGTTATCGATGGGAACACTGACATAAACAACAATTTTATTATCTGATGTCGGGGGTCCCGGCTGATGTGGGACGGAGCAGCTGGCCCTGCAGTTGCAGGTCCTGAGCACACCCAGTTGGACGGCAGAGTCTGATTTAGGGCGAGCAGGGTTCCAAGAATAATACTTAGCGCGCAGCGGCTGTCCCTGGATGATGGTCACACGGCTGAGTGAGGTTAACAATACGTTCCCACCGCCGCTTTGCTCCGCTCGGAGGAACCTGCCAGCTCTCATTCCAGACTTCATAAAATAAATGGTAAGGACAGGCAAATACTCTGGGAAATGACGTGAGCGCTCCACATTCTTGCCCACCTGCATGAAATTTTCCTGGCTGCCTTCTCTAGGCAAAAGCTTTCCCTTTCCTGAACATCTGGACCGCAAGA